ATTTCCAGAAATAAATCTACTGAATTATTTGTAATAGATCGAAGGGTTAGCAGTACTAATTAAGTGTATCTTTATCTCATTTATCTGGATGTGGTGATAGCAATCGAAAAAATATCGAAGTACAAATCCTCCGCTTGAACAAATTAACATTTGTCAAATAAATACCACCATATTGTCGGTTTTTTGTGAAGATTTTGGTAACTTAATAGTTGAATTCATGAGTCGATTAAAGCTAGATCATCAGTGAGAACCTGAAATCACTGGATAGCCGTTTCATCCTAATATGGGACTCCTCAGCGGTGTGTGCTCACTTGTGACCAGCTTGAACAGGTATTTCCTAGAGTCCTAGTGAGAAGCGGTGACCAATGGAGTTCAACCGTGTATGTGGTGAAGCAGTTACTTACCGAAGACAATGGTGGATGGTGGCGTAATATCGTGGATTAGTTGAAATTAGACATTCAAACCATTAGATGCCAACTTAGTAGTCTAAAGGTTAAGTGTTTGAGAACGAGGCCGAAATTCCTGAGTTCGAATCCTACAAGAGGGATCTTGGATGAACAGTGATAAGTCCCATACTAGGACGAAACAGCCGTCTAGTCCTCCCAGGTTTTCCTTGGTGTTCTAGCTTTAATCAACTTGTGAATCCAAATATTAAATAAATATCAGTTGCTAAATGAAAAATGTTTTGCATATATATATATATATATATATATATATATATATATATATAAAGTTTTTAAGCCTTCATTTGTTCATCACAAAAAAAGATAATAAGAATATATTTTTGCACTAGAACAATCGGAATTGTAGTCTAGGAGTTCAACACATCTTACTCCATGATTGATAGTGATAGTTGTTTTTGACATAAAGGAATTGTTATGGTTTTTAATATATTGATGATATATATCACAATCCAAGAGTATCAATTTGGATGGATAAGACTTTCAGCTTTGATATCTAGCAGATGTAGTACACATGGATAACATAAAGCACCTAGGTTTAGAAAAAACGATTGTGACAATATATACTACTATACTACTATATATACTATTAAATGCTTCCTAAAGTCATAAGTAAAGATCTGCCAAAATGTATTGTCTTTTATGATGACCCGATTTCCGAAAATGCCTGATTAAATTTTAATTAGACCTTGAATGAATAACCGTAAGAATTCTTTAATAATATGGAAAAACACTTCGTTAGAATTATCCAACTTGCTACATTGCTACATGTCCTAAACCAAACAACGTATATATCAAAAATTTCTAAATTTATTTCTTCAAACTTTCGAAGGCCATTGTGGAACTTCATTAAATGTATAAATTTATTTGAAGTAAAGCATATTTCTTTTAACTAGTTGGATGACAAACCTCAATAATTCCATATTTTAGCGTCTCATGTTAATAAAACGGTTACTACACTTGGAAAAAAAAAAGAATTTTGAATTATCTGAAGATAATATGTCAGTACGCATGATGCACCTTTTCGAGTCTCTTATACTAATTCTTCGTGTCTAAGTAAATAGAAGTTTCTTTTTGAAAAACAAGAGGATACAAAATTTACAACTTCTATTCAATATCAGTAAAACTAGTACGCTTCAGTTTACACACCAAAACATTTTAAAGCATGTTACTACTCACAATAATGCATGTCATTTCAATTCATATTCGTAGTTCATGTTTAAGGTAAGCTGAAATACAACCAAGTCCGTCTCTATTTGTCTTTACCATAAGTCCAACCAAATGAATCCTTAACAATTTCCTGGGTTTTTTTATCTGCAATTATTTATTTCGGCCATAAAACATCAATATGGGTGTGTATAGTAGAAGGTTACTGAGTCTGTGTATATTATCCATCATATACCTACATAAAAACTTAGGAACACTAAGAAGAGAACTGTAATCTTTTGAGTCTCATATGTCACCTGACAGATGAAAATCAAGAAGCAACATAAAAACAGTTGACTGACACTCGTCATCAACTCATTTTTTGACGTGGTTACACATAAAGGATTTCAGTGAATATAGAAAACTGTAATGAGAATAATGTAAAAAGTTTTAAACACAAAAGAGATCACTTTGGACTCATTTTTTAGAAACACCAGATAACTACATATAGACTTTCTGAGTTAGTTAACAAATATCAATACGTGAAAGATGCACCTGTCAAAATACAAATGCACTTTACGACAAAATCTTTTGATATTTTATGCACTTTTCAGAATGATATATCAGTTAACAGTTGCACAGACAACAATAAGTAGCCATAACTTCACAACACAGAGCAAGACAACCCAAATCACAGTTTGGATGATAACTACATGTTTGAGATTATTTCCGTTTAAATTACTTTCGTTGTTAAGTAGAGGAATGAAACATTCACTAGTTGACAACTGTAATAAATTTAAGGTGATATCTGAATCGTCGTAACACCTGTTGTTTCCGCTTAAATGTTATTAAAAATAATTGATTACACATTGGAAACGAACGAACAAACCTGTCAGAGGTTGTGGTTATTACGGGAATCGTTTGTTTTGAATCGCTGACAGTTATCGTAACATCATACTGTGGAATACCAGTGGAAGCGGAAAATATACTCGTGTCTAAAATTTCATTGATAAAATAACCGCTTTAAACATGGGGTTGCATATGCATATTTTATGGGAGAACTATTTAAATTAATTATATTCTGGTGTGTGCTACTTATATTGGCATAAGTAGTATATGATGTTAGTCGTGGACAGAAGGTCTGGCAGCAAAGACAAGGGGATCGAACAGTAAAGAATGGAAACAAGATGCAATTTGTATGAAAATGCAAGAATAATGAATTCTGAGTCATTTCGAGACAATTAATGGACATTTTGTAAATTAAGCATCTACTTTATGATTGTTAGATTTTATTAACAAGTCCTGTAATTTTGTGACATACATTCGATTGTCCCCACCCGTGTTCTGTTTACCACAATATTACCATAAAAATTAGCTATTTCTAGCTGCTTATGCAAAACAATAGATCATGGATAAAGATTTGTTGACACTCAAGATTTGAAAACATTTTAAGTTGACGAGTCGTCAGATAAGTGTACCTATAACACAACTTCTTACTGTCCCAACTAATACTCAAACAAAGAATCTGTCCTTTTAGGCATTAATATTATCTTCAAGGCCGCCTATCTACCATAACCGTTAGATATCTGTATAGCATAAGTTTAACTAGCAAACAGGCCAGTAGGGACAGTTAAATCTTATTTGTGAATCAACAAGTGAAAAATAAAAGCCTTTGATAAATTAGGAGCGCCATCTTAGATTTATATGAGCTTACAACCTATGAGTAAACGTTTTATGTGAGACGACTGTGAGTTGATCATTGTTCCATTATAGTATTGGCCAGTAATAAAACAAAGATAATAATATTTACAGTCTTTATACTTCGAGTGCTTTGGATCCCAAAGTGAGGTGTGGGCTCGTAAATAATCAGTCCGTGATGACACAAAATCTAGAGTTGTTTTGCTTTCCAAAGCCTAAAACAAAAGCTCTTATTTCAATACTTTCAAAGATATGCTTTACGGAATTATCTGCAGGACATTTTGTATAAGCTAGCTTGCTTCATTACAGCTTTAATAGGTACTCAAGTCCTCTTTAGGCCACTTAGTAATTCTGTCATAGAATCCAAAATGAACTCCTAAAAAATAATTAGTCCAGAATCCATAAATATGGTTTCATTAGGCAATTGATAAAGCATACAAATACTCCCAGAGCTCATTCATATTAGACTGCAGAAACGTTGGAGTTAATTCGTCATCACTATTTTTAGCAATATTATTTCTTTTTTACTGTGATTACTAAAATAAATTAACTAGTTTCAGATGTTATAATGATAACATTTTTACAGCTGCTCAGTATCCTCGGTATGAGTACATTGATCAAAGCAAGAAAAATGTATAACCCGGGTCACTTTCACTAACATGTGATCCTACCAAAACGTTTTTGTATATTAAGGATAAATACAGCATAGTAGCATCACAGTGACCAACTAAACGTTTATTCAAAATTACTTTCAATTGCACCTTTACAGGTTCATTCGAGAAAGACAACTCATTTTGATGACATAAAACTAAACGAATATATACTGAAGCATCCATATATTCCTCCATGTGTAGATTTATTATGCAATGGACAACGGACTGAAACTAAAGACATCCAATTTTACTTTATCCCAATCAAAACGAGTGTTATTGAGTAAAGTGAAGAAAGTAGAATGTGAAATTATCGCGGCCAGCAAGGTGAAATTGACCAGCTTAGATGTATATTACACAATAGGTTATCCAAATAACACCTGATTACGCTTATGGCTGTCTTAAGTATAAATATTGATAGACAGAGAAACATTCAGAGTAATCTGACTTTTGATACACTGGTCAACCTAAGCCCCATTAACTTTTCGCCTGTATAAAACTACTGACGCTGTAAAAATGAGAAATAGAACGACGGACAACACCGAATATTTTGATGCTTATTCATATCAATATAGTAATAAGTTTTAAATTTCGTTAGCTTCCATGAGCATATGTGAAATGTATAAAGACAAATTTAATGAAAAACAAGCATATCATTTAGAGACTGCGATGAGATTATAAACGATAAATACAATCTTTATAGTCTGAAAGGATGGTCAGCTAAAGAGCCAGACGAAATCACGTTTCTCGAATATTTTAACGATTTGAATTCACCAAATAGTTTATCCTCTAGACAAATATATGGAAATGATGAAAACGTAATGCTTGAGATGATATATAAGGCTAATTCCTTCACTCTTCCTAATTCATTTCCAAACGTGAGATTTCACAGTAAGATACTCAACTATGGTTGAAGACTTTAGCCAGGTATAAAAATTCAGTTTATGAAAAAATCATATTCCTCAGAATGTTTAAAAATCTCGGGTTTTTTTATTCTTGTCGATATACTTGATCAATTAAGCAAAAAAGTTAGGGAGTAACTTGCGTTCTTCAAGTTGACTTTTCGATTCCAGAAGGTTATGAAAATAATTTGCCGCAAACTCAACCAAATCAGTTGGCTTTTCTGATATAGCCTTCTCCGTGAATTTCTCCAGTAACTCCGGCAATCCTTCGGGTATCATACTAACCAACAATGGAAACAAATTACCGCATTAACGATAACTGAGACAGAATACAGCTTAGCAAATTTAAACAACATTGTACATTTAACTAAATTTGACGTCAAGGACAAGGACTTAAAACACTGTCGTGTACTCATACGCTATGGTGTACGAATGCATAATCATGAGAAATGTGTCTTTTGAAAGTGAAGTCATTACTTCTTTTAGTTGGAATTGTAAGATTTCGTCACTCCGTTGAAAACAAATTTTCACGGAGATGAGACTGATTTCGAGTTTTTAAACTTTCTCATATTCTTTCTCGCCTGTGTTTATTTTAAATGGAGTAAGAGAGTGGCGTCAAAGTACTTCTGACATTGCTTATGACTGACTGTCGGAACATTGACTGGGAAAGAATAATAATAATAATAATAATAATAATAATTTATTCTCAAATAACAGTTTGTTACATGAGGCATGCCAGTTTACAGGCAAGATCAAATTGATACAAATGATACAATATACACTGCAATAAATTACATAGCTGGGTTGATAATTTATAAGATATGAATGTCGATGGTTTAAATCAGTACTACAGTTGGCGCGCTTCATGAAAATCGCGTTGCGAATGTGCGACTGATGGTCAAGAATAGGTCCATTGAAGGTATGGGCTAACAATATTTACCCAGTTACTATCTTTGAAGACCTGTAACAAAGTCCTTTCTCCATATTATAGACGCTTTCTCCTATATTAATGGGAGTGGCACTCACAATCCTGTCCTTTTCATATCTTGTTTAGTACCCAAGTTAAGAGCAAACGCCTCATCTTTCACCACTTGATGCCATATTTTGGTGTTGCTTGTGTTAGCAGTACTTGAAGTTTGTTAGCGTATAACTTATCCTTCTACCTCGTAAATCTGTTTGTGAAATTGTTCTGGGTAGAGCTTATAAAGAGTCGAAACAAATCGTTTCTGAATTAATTTGAAGAACTTTGAGCTGCTAACAAAGGGACCACTGTCAAGAACATGTTTTCATTATAGACAAGCCGGACATCATTACACGATGTAGCGACATGAACAAGGAGAAGACAACGAGAATGTTAAGCGTTTGATAAGTCCATGTAGTTTCAACAACATGGCTGTAGGTGACAGCATTTCCTACAGCGCAAGTGAGGACAAAGCCACATGTATCTCATAAGACAACATTTCTGAGTACCAGAATAACCACATCTACGTAAACCAAAAAACAAGAACTTCGTTAGTAGCTGTAAAACCAAACACAGAAGCTAATATGGTTCGAAATCACAACCTGGTTTTGGGCCTCGCCAAAACTGAAGCTAAAGAAATATTGTACAGTTAAACTAGCTTTATGAGTGCTCGAATGTTCAGTATTCCGTCAACCTCTATTAAAAACACCTCCAAAGACTCGCCCATCAATACCTTCTGAATAAATATTGATTGTAGAGTCCTTCTTATTGAATTCATGATGCGTCCGCATACATTGCTTTGATGACTAGCTCTAGGAACGTCATCCACACCCTCTTTCTAAAAGGGTATTTACTATCCAATTTTGGTTCCAATTACACGAAACCTGTCCAAGACTAGCGTTGGCTCCTTTAAAGCTGCTAAATGCACTCTCAATTTTATTCACAACTCGTACAAAGGTGCCTTTCATAACACCATGTTCGATAGCACGGCGAATATATACCATCTGCTTCCTCAGGGTCTTAGTTATTGACTTCTTTGTTACAGTGGTCTTTGGCTTTTTCGATGTCTTAACTTTCGGCTTGATGACCTTCTTTCCCTTAGGCTTTCTTAGAGTTGATTTGGGTTTAGTAGCAGATGGTGCTCCAGTTTTTGGCTTAGATACCTTGGGCTTAGTTAATAAAAGTGAACAATAGACTTTACGGGAGACAACGCCATATGCAAATTCTATGGCATCAGCAGAACCAGTGATTTGCACGACTCCGGTACGAGACAACTTGGAAGTGGCAGTTCACTGAGGCGCTTCATACCTCTAAGCCAGCAGTCACATCTCATAAAGGACTCCGTAGGAAGCTCTGCGTCCCATACCAGAGTTTGCGGACAAGTGTCTTAGAAAATTAAATTAGTTGATAAGACAATTGGAGCTATAAACCCAAAGAGGTCAAATATAGGAGCTACAAATTACAATATGGTTCTTCTTGTAGGAGTTGCATCGAATTCGTACTCTATGAAAATCTTATCCGTTCAGAGATTACATTCTATTCCTACGGTTCTTTCGTTTCTTTCCATAGATAAACAAATGTCCACGTTACTTTCTGTGAGGACTTTCTCCGGAATAAACTTCGTTAATTCAAAATTATCGCTGGCCCACTTGGTCAGATTAGAGCAGTAAACGTAACATCTCCATCAGCTGAGGGTATACTAGTTTAACTTCTTCTAACGTATAAACACTAGTTAATAAAACGTCAATGTAGAACTGTTGCTTCGCCGTCTGTATAATACATTCGGGAGACCTAGCCTCATCTTCTAGGAAAGGACAAGTCTGTACCGCCTTTTCCCAATTTTTTTATCAATACAGGCACTACTGCAAATGCTACTCATCTCTGTACACGCTTAACCCTTTCCTCAGTACAGAGTTGTATATTAATGTGGGGAATACTATTACTATCTCTCTGCTCTTCCCGCTTCCTGCGAAACAAGGTATGGTGTCTCCAACCACATTCTTCGAGTGCATATGACTTCGATGCTTGACAGTCTTTGTACGATTAAGGTTGGATGAAGAGTTCATCTGTGTAAGTGTCAGCTCACAAAATGCATCTCACGAGACTGCTTTCTCAAACCATCAGGATCAGGTCCATTGATAGCAATGGTATTCCGCATCCTAACAATAAATGTTTAAGCTTCGATGTGTTTCTGACCGAATACTTCCTCGAGAAGCTTCACCATCACAATAGTGAACCAAATGGTTTAACCTAGATCGGGATCCAATGATTTCATCAAAACAGCCTTAAAAATTCCGTATAAAACTCTGATGGTAAATGAGATTACCATCAAACCTTATGACCTCTTACTGTGGCAGGTCTAAAGCTTTGGATATCATTGTCATCCAGTTCTTTCCACGAGTAACATCAACTACATGTGAGATGGATGTAGACTCGTAAGATATCACATTGTCATCCATAGCTAAGCTACAATGTTCCATTCCCTTTTGACGTAACCTCTCGATCTCAATTTTTCCTTCCATCTGAGCTAAACCTACTCTAGTATATTCCGACTCTAACAAGGGATCTACTTGATAGTCGTTTCCTTTAAATTGGTCATCAATATGAGTTTTTTTTATAGTTCAGATAAAATTTACGGATCTGAACAGTCTTTCATTTCTGCTCCGTAGACACCTAACAGCACTCAGCGTACGGATTTTTGATGAGGTACTCGCCGAAACGTTGTAGGATTGAATTTGTCCTACAGATATACTACTAGAACCGTAAGCGCGAAACTGACAAACCCAGAGTCTATTTAAAACTTATAGTCAGGACAGGGACAACATCGCTTTAAACTTTACCTACTTCTAAACGTAAAAACAATTAGCTTAAAACAATTATTAGGGAGATTACAGTCATTAAGTAAAACTATGATAATTAGGAGTATTTGAATTAAAGTAAAAACTACGAATCTCAGAAATAATACAATCGGATCAAGAAGTACTATATAAACACGAACAAATGTACTGTATTTGGAATTCGAAATCAAGCATTCAACAAGTACAAAGGAATCGTTAGTTCATACAAACACCACATCCGCCACAGCCTAAATCTGAGACTAAATGTCTGCAATCGATTGTACGACTTCTCGAATTCATCCTGTGTCTGTCGGACAGTGAATTGAATAAGGACGCTGTATTACCTAGGATGTACTGATCAATATTAGAATAAACAGCCAGAATTGGAACAGACTCACCTGGTTCTTAGAATTTTATTTGATCAACATGTCGATTGTATGTGTTTAAGTCACTGGTATCTAGAATTCAAACCATATATTTCCCGAAATTCTTCAGAACAATCCTCTTGGATGGTCGAAGATCATTTCCACGATAATATGTAACTTCTGCAGACACCAAATACCTCGTTTTGGACGAAAAATTCTTCCTTTTAGTAGCTTTGATGGAGCCTCTTTCGTCACCGAATGTCTGGCATTTCTATATTGCAGTAGAATGGTATCTACTCCCCTCTCCAGCTCATTAAATGTTAAGGCATCAATAGAATCAATATGAGTTTCCGATGTCCTGACAAAATTTACTGCCTGACCATTAGAACAAGGACGTCTGGGGGCAGCAAACAGATGTTATTATTATTATTATTATTATTATTATTATTAATGGCTTTATTCAATATTATATTTTGTACCCCAAACCTCTCAACCAGCTAGCGACTGCACCTGCAGTTAAATGAGAGCCATTATCGGTCACTAACACCATGGGAACACCTTCTCGACTAAACATCTTTCTTAATGTTTGGATTGTGAAATCAGAATTTGGTGAAGTTGTGAGAAACGTTTCAGGCCACTTTGAAAAAGAATTAATGACTACAAGTGCATGGTATTTGCCAAGAAACGGACCACAATAGTTTCCATGAATTCTCTGCCAGGCTTCAAACGATGCTGGCCAAGGAATTCACTTCGAATGCTGATTTTTCAAATTATGACATTTTCCACAACTGTTCACTTTACGACATGTATCTGCACTTACCTCTGACCACCAACATGTTAGCCTTGCCAAAGACTTCATTTTCTCAACACCTAAATGTCCACTATGAATGTCTTCAAGGACAGATTTACGCAATGAAGAAGGAATTACAGCACGATCACTTAAACACAAAATACCATCACGAGTAGTGGATGGCTCATCCCACTTTGAAAAACAGACAGGAAATCTACGTTTCAAATTAGCATTTCAGCTTTTCCGTAAAGCAGTGAGTATACATCCAAAGTATCTACGAGTTTGTCTAATGAGATCTGGACGTCTCACTGGTAAACTTTGCACTGACAAACAGTCTAAAGTATCAACAGGTCTGTTTTGTAATGATTGTCGA